TCAACTTTCCTGCTCCTCTGATGCTGCCTGGCCTGCTGTGTTCCTCCAGCTCCACACTTTGTTATCTTTGCATAAAATATGAAACCTTTTGGGCCATTTCTCAGACGTGGTAAATGCAACTTATTTTCTCTTTTCAATAAAATGGCTTTTTCCTCTGCCCGAAAAATAAAGTTTTAAAATATAGAAAATGAAAGTATAAACATTCCTGCATGAAGACACTGACTTAATTTGCAAATTGTAAGTCAATAGAAAACGTTTATTGGAAATGAAGTAATGCCCATAGAATGTTTGGCCTGGTTAAAAAAAAAACTTCAGCATTTTCACTATTACTTTTATTTGCTTGAAACTACTTCCATTGGAGATTACAGGTTCAGCAACTGAACTATTGCCAAGAAAAACAATTGGATAGTGGCATTAGACAAGGCAGGAAATTTGCAATTGAAGCTGTCTTTCATCTGTTTTATTTAAAATGACAGTTTCTTAGAAGAACCAAAACTGTTTGTTTATTTTTACCTATAGCTGTCTTATAAATTACTTGATTAAACAAACAAGTATCAATAAACATTTGCTACATAAAATGTTAGGTAAATTTAGACCAATCTAAATCCAATTTATTTTTCTAACCACAGTTTTGATAGTATTGTACGCTGAGGTTTCACTCCGAGAGATACAAAGGCAGAAATTATAACAGTGAGTTTTATCTAAGACCTGATGAGATTGTTAAATGTTATTTTCTGTCTTAGCAAAGCAATGCACATGGCAAAACTAACAAAGTAGACTATAACATGGATTTTTTATGCATTACGATGTTGACTTTGCATTGTGTGCATTGAAAAAGTAGAAAATTTGTTTCTTTCTTAGAGTTGCTATATAAGTACTTTCATATGAATAGGTTCAGGTGGAATATTTTTTCATTGTCATTGTGGTGATTAACCAAATGCTTTTAGAGGAAATCCAAGAATTTACAAATTATTTTCATTACATGTGGAATCTTTTAATTTTATTTAAATTGTTTTCTCCACCATTCTTTATTTTGTATCAAAATTGAGTAATAAAATTAAAATGCATTACAGGTTGGGAGAATGCATTCAAGATCAGAAAAAGGAGTGAACTTAATCTAAATGTAGATATTTAACACAGAAGATACAATACATAAAACAGATTTTCCAGAGTCAGTTAATTTAGATAGTATTGCCAAACACAAGTGGAAGTTTTTTTGTTAGGTATTGTTTTAGCAAAACAAATTGTTTTAAAAATATTGTATGGGATGTGGACAAGATAGGAGTGTGGAATTTGAAATACAAACAGATCAGCCATGACCTTATTGAATGGGAATGCAAAAGGGGCCAAATGGCCTGCTGCAGCTCTTATTTTGTATGTTTATATATTGAACCACCCTTCATAACTTGGTGTAATTCTGAACATAGGATTTAGGGAAGATCATTGATGATGTGGCTAAGGTCACTGCTCTGAGAAATGGCTCAGTAAAAATAAGGAGCATTGGAGAAATTATTCTGACTACAAGTTGACAAATCCTTGGGACCCAATGACCTTCGCCCTAATGTTGAGGCAGATGGCTATAGAGAAAGTGGAAGCATTGGTAATCATCTTTCAAATTCTACTAATTCTATAATGGATGCCTGCCTGCCACTATTACAAATGTAACCCCATTGTTTAAGAAAGTAGGGAAGAGATAACACAAAACTACAGATATGTTAGCTTGACATAAGTAATTGGGAAAATAAAGGATGTGATTACTGAATATTTAGAAAATCATCATCATCTGATTAGACAGTCAATGTGTAGCTATGAATGAAAGATCATGTTTGACAAACCTGGTAAGAGTATTGTTCATGTTATTAGCAAAGTTGATAAACAGGAACCAGTGGGTGTGGCTTTCCTTTGAATTTTCAGGAATCTTTTTAATAAAGTTCAACACAGGTCAGTAATCAAAATTAAAAAGTGCATGATATCAGAGGTAATATATTAGGATGGACTGAAGATCAGTCAACAGGCAGATGAAATAACTCCATGGGGGCCAGTATCCAGTCCCCAAGTCACCTTTATTTCAACATGGAGAACCCTCGACACTGATCCAGCTCCCTCAGAACCAGCTCAAAATCAACAGGTCACTCCTGTTTATAATCTATGAACTTGGGCTCCCTGACTGGACCAGAGTAACAGTCCCAATCAGGGAACTAAGGTCCACCTGGCTGACCTTGTTACAATCTCTACATCCATTCCTCTCAAAGTCTGAGGACATTGGCCCATTCTTCTTTTTGTAGCTCCTTCTGAGACATTTTAGCACCAGGTCAGATTCCTCCAACTCTGCCTCTAGTATGGACAATATGCAATACACAGGTAGCTCGCCTCTTACATCTGGACAATCTCAGAAGAAATGCATTTTCTTCTTCAGCTAGCAAAGGAATTGAGGCGGCGATACACGCTATGTCCATCTTAGATTCTGAGGTATTTTCAACTCGATGGCGAGCAAGAACCCATGGGTTCCAGAACAGTCAGTAAGGCTGTTGAGGAGCTGGGCACATTTTGCTCTCACACCGTTAGCGAGTTTGCAGCTTTCATATGGTCCACACGCTCATTCAAGACCATCACACGCTAGTCCATTCCGCAACCACCACCACCTCCATCCCCATCCCCAAACCATGGCACCTTTCCAAGTAACTGCAGAAGGTGTAACATCTATCCCTTCACCTCCTCTCTGCTCACCATCCAAGGGCCTAAACAGTCTTTCCAGGTGAAGCAGCATTTCACCTGTACCTCTTCCAATCTTGTGTATTGTATTCTCTGCACCCAACGTGGCTCCTCTACATTGGAGAGACCAAGCACAAACTGAGTGACTGCTCTGCAGAACACCTCAGGTCTCTGCGCAAGCATGACCCCAAACTTCCTGTAGCCAGCCATTTTAACACAGCATCCTGCTCACATGCCTGCATGTCTGTCCTCAGCATGCTGCAGTATTCCAGTGAATCACAATGTAAACTGGAGGAACAACATCTCATCTTCAGAATAGGCATCTTACAGCCTTCTGGACTTCATATTGAGTTCATCACCTTCAAACTGTGAACCATTTCTTCCCTTTTAGCATGTTGCATTCTGCTATCATGTCCTCTCTCCCCTCCCCTGACGTTAGTGGGACTGTCAGTCCTTTCAAGTCAGGTAGGAGACACACCATTGTTCTGCCATTCTAACATTCTGATCACTTAATCTAAACTATCAACATCTTCTCTCCACTAGCATTTTAAATCCACGACCCCCACAACCCACCCCACCCTAAACTATAGCATAAATGCTGTCCTCCTACGCACTCCAGCTCTGAAGAAGTCATCTAGGCTCAAAACGTTAGCCTGACCTAAATACTACGTTACCTATACCATTATATGGTTG